TATAAAGAGGGGTTTAGTAGCCCACCCCCTTTGAGCATCATCTATACCTGCTGGCAGGTATTGATTGTCTCCCGAGGTCTGTGGGACGCCCAACCTCGCCCTACTTCTTCCCGAGGGATTGAGAGAAAGACGCTGGCCACGCCAAGTCTGGAACGCAGGGGTGAGAATATACACCTGCTATGTGTCTATTTTGCATGCATTTAATAAGAGCTCAGAGAACCAAAAGGGTTTCATGGTACCTGTAAGTGACTTATTAGTGTAATTTCTGTCCTGTCCTTTGTAGTGTCTGTGTTATCTGTAACACAGCAGTAGCATTTAACAACTAAGTTTACCCTGTAACAATAAAATAGTAACTGTTTAAGCTTTAACCTGACTCCTTCAGTTGCTGTAACAGAACCAAGCACAATTTAAAAGAACTTCAGCCGGTCATTAGGGACAGATATAGGGAGAGCTTGGGCGTTTGGATTTGTGTCACACCCAGGTGGCAAAATCCACTGGGGCACCTTTCAGTCTTTCCCCAAGGCTGCCCGCTGCGAAGGAATTACGAATTCTAGCAGCTGAAATCTAAGGTGTAATAAGCTCTTCCTATAAACTCGGGGCATCTGAGAGCCTGTTGGCTGCCCTCTGCAACGGGACCCCGGTCCTAGCAGTAAAGTCACAGACGTTAAACTATTTTTCGGGGCGCCCTCCAGCCTCCTAGGCTGCCCACTGCAACGAGACTTTGTGTCTCAGCAGTTGAAGACTTGGGTGTAACACACATGCACACACTGCCCTGACCGTCGGCTGACAGGTCCTCATGATGAACTCGCTATAGGAACTGTCCCACACTGCCTCCTGATGATGATTCAGATATGTCTGGCTCAGCTATTGATAATGATGAATACTCAGATGTTACCAGTTCAGGCTCTTTATACGAAGTTCCGTTCAACTAACAACTCTGGAACTGTCTCATTTCCTGACTCACTGTTGCTGAGTCACTTTTAACTTTTATCTCTTTTTTAAGGGAAACTGTGATTCAGTATTTTTTTTTACATATGCCCAAGTTTAATGATTTTTTTATCTTGATTTTTAATTAGCTTATTTATAATACCAAAGATAGTGGGTTTGATGGACTATTAGTCTGATTGGTTTGTTAATTCCTGTGTTTTTATTTCTGTGGCCAATAATAGCTGATTCAGAGGAAGATATAAAAAACACTAGCTAGTAAATTTATGAGCTAATGTGCCCATGGGACAAATTCTTCCTAAACTTCAGGCAGTTATTTTATGCCCCAAAGCAAAAGAGATTATACCTTTTTATGAATGTTTAATTTCTATACTGTATCTTCTAGCTTTCTGATTCATATTATGTGAATCCTGCTGAGAACATTACTTCTACAATATCGTGTGGTGATGAGATCCTCTGGCTAATATATGCATCGTTTTAAAAAGCTGGTGGTGCTTTATTGTCAATTTTACTTTGACTATCCAGAATTGTATAAGAAACACAAGTTACTGTTTAGGGCTTCTGAGTCTTGTACTGACTCTGCAGTAGTACATTACTATCTCTTACTGATCACCTCCTCAAATGACTGACTGGGAAGGGGAAGGAAATGCCTCAACAGAGCCTTCTCCCTGAAGAATTTGAAGCTCTGATTTTGTGAGAGAGCCTATTGTTCTTCAAAGTCCATTGAAATTAGTGGAAAGGTTTCCTTGAGTCAATGAGTTGCACATCAGCATTGAGGATACTTTTCAAAGAAATTGTAGCATGCCCTTTTTTGGTTTTATTTCATATTTCTTTTATACAGGATCTGCTCAGTTTTCTTTCTGAAAGCATTTTGAGGCATGGTTAGTTGATAGGCTGCAAGCTCAAAATCCCAGTGGCTAGGACATGGGTGGTGGTGGTGGGAGGGGGGAGGAGGCTTAATGCTCCTGTTGCTCTGGTTTAGTCCAATTGGCAAAGGAGCTGTAATACTTTAATCTGGTACTGAATGCTACATTTTCAAGAGTGAAGCACTTTGAGTCTGGAACAGGTGTTAAGAAAACAAAGCAAAATAAATAAATAGCACAGTGAGATGCTGAATTCTGCCCTGTCTTAAAAAGCTGGTGCAACCCCTCTCCCCAGAACAAAATGGGGTGTCATCCAGTGTGAGTGAGGGTAAAATTGGGCCCTGTGAAAGCCAGTTTTGAGATGGATGGAGGGAATGTGTAAGACTTCTGTGTGGAATTTTTAAAGTGACCTGGGCAACAAAACTGTAGAAGCTATTTTATGTTTAGCTAGAAGCCATCTTGTATATCAGAAACCATTTCAGCTTTTCTCTCAAGCATGTAGACCAGAGTGAACTTTCTGTCACCCCGTGAGAAGAGGCCTACAGGATGGGCTATTGGTATGTGTTAATTGGGCTGGTTGGGACAGGAGATGTACTCCCTCGCACCTGTCCGCCATCTTGTTGATAAGGCTTTGTTTTTCCAAATTTAATTGAGGATTTCTGTAATGGGATGCCCTGATGTCAGGCTATTTGGCTAAGGGTATAAAGATACTAGGATTGATTGTATTAGCAGCCTTACTGGGCCCAGCTCTGCTGTGACCACGTTTGGCTCATGCTGTGCTTTATTAATTAATAAAGCTGTTTGTTAGCTGCCTAAACACAGAGGAGCGTGTTTTTGCTTCGACAATTCCCATTCCAGGAGTCCATTTACTGAGGCGGGTGTGAAGTGGGTTTAACTCTGCTACTGTCAATGGGATTGTATATTCCAGTGGTACAAGTCAGAGCACACTCTGGCCTTCAGTTCCAAGAGGGTACCTGCTGCTGCTGTCAGCTAATGAAAATGCAGCATCCTCCCTATAAGCAAGGGTTTTAATGTTTTAAAGAGCCATTTACATTGGGCTATAAAGCACAGCACAGTTGCGCTATGAGCAATGCTCACTGGTTTCTCCCCTAACAGCACTGTTATAGTAATACTCATACAGCGCCTGGCTACCTGCCAAAAGCAGCAGTAGCAGCAGCTTTTCTTTCCTGGCTAATCGGTGATAAAACAGGAAGACCTTGATCATCCTTCTTGATATGAATAACGATGTTATCTCCTGTGATGTATGACATACAGCCGGATAATGGCCTCTGGCCTGCCTGTTTTCTCATGAGATGTAAAATACAATGATCGTGTTACAAGGGGGAGATAAAGTGGCACAATCTTCACCAGTTCAAATAACTAATTGAAGCAGGAAATAGTGGAGATGGTTTCCTTTGTTCCCTCGCTATTGTTGATATAACAGTGCTTATAATGAAAGCAAAGACTGTTGCCCTCTTTCTCTTTTCCTCTCTATTTTTTCTTTAAACACAAGAAGCGGCTTCTCTCTCTCTCTTTCTCTCTCTTCCATTGAAAGGCTCAGAGTCCTGATAAATTTAAGCAACAGGTCCTCTTTGCAAGCAACATTCCTGCATGTCATCATCAGAAAGCTGAAATCAATAAGTAGTCCTCCCTCTTTGTT